TTTAATGGACAATTTCCATGTAAAACAAAGCCAAACGAATAGAAAATTTAAAAATTTTCCGGGTGGAAAATTATATCAATCAAACACACTTGAAATTATTTTCTCTGCAAAACATTTTCTAGGCAAATCTTTTCCCTGTAAAACATTTTCTTTCCACGCATTTTCCACCTTTGTAATCAAACGCACCCTAACTGTTTTAGAGAGAAACTGAAACAAAATATAAAAAAATCACTGATTTGGTAAGTTGAGAAATACAACCCAAATTATCCTACAATGATTTTGGCTCATTTAGACTAGTCGAGACCTGTTATCCAATTTTTACTGTCCACCCAATTAATTATTGATATATCATTTTTAAATTTGCATGTCATCTCAAATTTAGCCTCATTAACTCCACCACTAACCCACCAAAATTGATGACATGTTAATTTAAAATGATACGTCAATAATTGATTGGATGGATAGCAAATTGGACAAAAAAAATAGCAGATCTCAACTTGATTTAGACACCACCCAAAAGCCAAAACCATGCTCCAAAACTAAAAGTAACAAGTTTTTCCAATATCTCATAAATGATGCCACCCAAAAAGACCAAAAAAAAAAAAAAATCTCCCACGCACGCCCTAATGTTTGAAACAACTTTGATAATGAATGCGAGGCCCTTGTTTGATAGAAATTAAAATTCAGTTTTTAATAAATTTTGATAAAAAACGATGAAACGTGGGATTGACAAGTTGTGGACCCTATTAAAAAATTAATTTTTGATTTAAATTTAGATTTTAATCAGATGTTTTAGCGAAACCAAATTCGTGCAAGACTAATAGATTTATAGGAGGATTGCAGACGAAAAATAAAAATAATGATTCCTCTCAGTTTCTCACGTTTGTCTGACTTAACCACTCCTTGTATATTTCTACTAATTGGCTCTTCTTTTGTCTCATGTATCATCTTCACTTCCATAAGAATGCCGAGTCCCTTACCCTTTTCTCAATCTATCTACATCTCTATACCAATCATCTCTTCTACAGAAATTATTTCTTTAATTTTCGGCAATGGCGACGTTGAAATCTTCTTCTGGTACCCATTTTCATTATGATCTCTCTTTCCTTGGCCAATAGAATTTGATGGATGACTAACATGCTGTGTGTGTTGGTTGTAAGGTGCTGTACCAGAGGTCCAGAATGGTGAAGATTTCAAAGTTCAAGTGTTCTCATCATCATCGGAGGTGATTTTTTTTTTTTTTTTGGAAATCCCTAGTTTTGTCTTAATTGATTCCGAAATATAATTCCATGCTAACCAGAATTATGAGTGATAAGTGGTACACCCCATGCGCCTCCTTCATTCCTCTCTATGCATTGAAATATTGAATTCAATTCTGCTTTAAGGTTCGTGCAAGCCCCATAGAAGACACGTAAAATCCAATACGCATTAATTTAGTCACGAAATAGCCCTCAACCCACGGTCGCCCGGGATTCCCTTTCTGTCTGTGCTTTTAATTTGGATGAAACTCTATCTAGTGGCTGGTATCTTTTCTCTTAATATATCTCCTAATATTCTGTGCTCGTATCATGATCAATGCTCATTAGCCAACACCAAATTTATAGAGATAAGGTTTAGTTTGTTGTTGTATCACTATTAACGCAGCATATCAAGTATTTTATCCTAAAGGGTGGTTTTAAAGCTTATTGAAAACGGTTTCTAGAATTGAGATGATAGGTCTATAAATTGTTTTTTATACTCGTAGAATAGATCTTGCAGAATCATATGAAATGCAAAGTGCATCTTTGATTCTCAATATTAAAGAAACTAGGAGGCGTCGAAAACAAAGAAATTGTTGGAGTTTTGTCTAATCCACCATACCCATAAATGTATCACTTGTTCCAAAATCGTGCCCGAGGAGCCTCTTTGTACCATCTAAAATAAGCATTTCTGCAAAAGAGTGTCAGAAAACAGTACTCCTTGTGAACAATATGATTGAAAACGGATCACATGGCCTTACTGGTTACTAGATAGGACCAAGAAAATTTACATCAGAGTACTGTTCACTAGTAGAATCAATGCAGTGCCATATTGTTAGCAGCAAAAAGACAATGGGGTTAGAGGCTGATAATTAAAAGGATGCCAATGAGACTGATGAGAAACTCAAAGTAAATATGCAACTTAGGACTTACAGAGTGATATATGGCTAAAAAACATCAAATACTTTTAGATGGCATCATCTTTGGGAAGTGTTATTAAACAGTTTAAATTATAAAAAAATAGTAATAAGTGGTGGATAGTACTCGTGGATCCCAGGAAATGTGCAAATAAAAATTGATTTGACCAATTATAACATGTCTACAGTGGGAGCTGCTCGTAGTGACAGAACAATGGACACTATCCTGAAAAATTATAGAGCGCGCGTTAACCGTAATATCAGTTTGTTTGAAATTAACTTGTTATTAGAACCTTTTGGAAATCCTTTCTATTGCAGAGTACTTCAGTGCATTTAAGGATGTAGATTAACATTTTAGTTTAGCTCAGTCAAGGTGTTCATTTAAAGTGCAGTTCTCTTTAATTCTTCAAGGATTGGTCATGATTAGTGATAACGGACTTGATTTTGAAGTGAGGGGTGTTTCATATAATTTTACTATGAATTTCTTCCTTGTCTTTTACATGGTATTCTATATGTCACAGCCTTCCTCCCCTCCCCTTAGAAAAGCAAAAACTGCATTTTGATGTTTTTTATGTATTGATCAGTTGCTCGAGAAGCTGCATGACAAGTGGTCAGGGAAGCGAAAACCCTACCCTGCAATGTATTCTAGTATATTTGATGGAATTATTCTCGACCCAGAAATGATGGTTATTCCAATAGATGATCACATGGTTCATCGAGGACATGGTGTCTTCGACACAGCTATTATTCTTGACGGGTAGGGCCATTCTGTCTGGAATTTTGATTAATGTTCTTCACAGTTCAAATAGATTGATATGTTGAAGGTGTATAAGAGGATCCTTTCAAGTTGGAAATATCGTATCTGATTTGGATATATTCAAATTCATCCGAGAGTTGCAGAAGCTATAAATCCAACAATATAAACTTAGTTTTTCTAACTCACTTTTCCTATATTTTCTCTTGTGCATGAAATATTGATTATCCTAATAGCCCATCCCAGGAGAGCTCTTTGTATGGACCACTTACAGATTTATGTAATCAAGATTAGACCCAGTAAAGGGTTGTTAAAGTAATCAAGCTTTTCATATGTTATTTTTGGGTTAAAAGCACTATCGTTCACTGAATTTTTAGCGAAGTTTCATGTTGATCACTAAACTTCATTTTGTTCGAAGTTGGTCATTGAATCTGAATTTTGTTACAATTAGGTTAACGTTCTCTACAGTATGATCATTCTGTCAATAAAAAAAACTGATGTGGCAGCCTTGATGACAAATAACTAGACGGTCATTTCATCTTTTCCATCAGTCAAGTTGAGAAATATGGATGGAGTAACTAAAATGTGACCTTTAGGTTCAATGACCAACATGAAATTTTCGTTCAAAGTTTAGTGGCAAAAAGTGTATTTAACCTGTTGTCTTTCAGATGTTGCTTTCATTGATATCCGATTGCTATAGTTGAGTTTATTTTACTGGTTGCCGCAGATTTATATATGAACTGGATGTCCACCTTGCCCGTTTTCTTAGATCAGCATCCAAAGCAAAAATAACTTCTCCCTTCTCCCAATCAACTCTTAGAAGCATTCTTATTCAGCTTGCAGCAGCATCGCAGTGCAGGAAAGGAACTCTTCGGTACTGGTTGAGTGCAGGGCCTGGAGACTTCTTACTCTCTCCCGCAGGTTGCCCAACACCAGCCTTCTATGCTGTAGTCATTGATGAAGATTTCTCTCAATGCAAAGAAGGTGTCAAAGTAATAACGTCTACTATCCCAATGAAATCACCTCACTTTGCCACTATGAAGAATGTAAACTACCTGCCAAACGTCCTCTCGAAGATGGAAGCCGAGGAGAAGGGGGCATTTGCATCTATATGGGTTGATGATAAAGGCCATATCGCCGAGGGTCCAAATGTGAACGTTGCTTTCATAACTCCTGAGAAAGAGCTTGTCTTGCCGTTCTTTGATAACATTCTAAGTGGGTGCACTGCGATAAGGCTTCTTGAGTTAGCACCTAAGTTGGTGGAGCGAGGGCATTTGAAGAGTGTGAAAACTGCCAATCTCACTATGGAGTTGGCCAAAGGAGCTTCTGAAATGATGTATGTTGGAAGCACGCTGCCAATATTACCAATCGTCATGTGGGATGAGAAGCCTATAGGAGATGGTAACTTCTTTAATTTTGTTTCAGCAGAAAAATCTTTTAATGAATATTTATGTGGTACTATTAACCTTGAGCGCATTTCGCTAAGCTTAGAAAGTGTGCTTATAAGTAAGTTTACTAGCAAGGAAACTTGTGAGTTTTAAAGATAATTAATTCTTTATTAACAAAAATTGAAAATAGTAACTTTCTTTACTTGTAGAATGTGGCTAAGCTTAAAATCTCCTTAAAAAGAGTTTTTTTAAAAAAGAGAAAGTCGCAGTTAGGATGAATGACTTTATTATGTTTTGTGCAATTATATTGAGATATATGGTGACATCCAGTGGCAAGTCCAAATCACTTACCTTCTAAAAAATAGGGAAGTGCGTGTTTTTACCATGAAAGATCGAAATTCCTGTTCTCTTACTCATCTAAGTATGCATGAGGCAGTCGCTAGACATGTATCATTGTAGATTGCTCATCTCTACCAAAATATATCCAAATAAAATATCTTTATTTGTCAAAAAGGGAATTGACCATGACCTTGTGTGTTGCAGGAAATGTGGGAAAATTGACAATGGAACTTTCAGATTTGCTGTGGGAAGATATGGTTGCTGGCCCTGAAACGCAGAGGATCCCAGTTCCTTATGCTTAGGAAACTGTGTTGTTCAATTGTTGCAGAAGGTATCACTGTCGATGTTATATGATATGAATGTCAGCATGTTTAGCAGACACGACTAGATAGGATTATAGATCTTTCATCGCCGCATAATAGCGTGCAATAAACATTTCGATATGTTCTATTTGCTTTGTTTCAAAAATTTTAGCCTTGTTATTTATGCCTTCTTTGTACTCTAGTCGCGGCTGTGCCCTGCATGATATTTTATGCCATTTAGTTTTATAATCACCATGGTACATTTTTTACCTTGAGGGGTTGCTCAATTGGTTAGTCCTTGGGTTTGCTACCCAATGGTCACCAGTTCGAGTCCCCTCAGGGCCACTGAAGTGAGTACCCGGTCGTAAATTTCAGAGTCCCGTGGGAATAGTCGAGGTGCGCGCAAGCAGATCCGAACATCCACGGTTATCAAAAAAAAAAAAATTATTGTCTTCTAAAACAATGAAGCAACTGTTTTATCCATGACAATTAGCCACCATGAAATATATACCACGTAATTTATTACGTTAGACGTCATTTTACAATGTTAAAATAGTTATATATGGAAATTGTAGTTGCAATAAAGAATGTTAGCTCTTTAAATACACAATTACAAAACAAGTAGATGCAACGAACTAGGAAATTGTTTAGAAACCAATGAAGGCATCAAACAGTGTGATCCTTAAAGGACAAGCGTCTGATGATGAGGTGGCATGGTCAGTGGTAATTGTACATGTGTAGTCATTCAATATTGCTTTTGACTCGCGCAATTGTGTGCCTTGATATTTAGTTTCAGAAGCAGTTAAAAGCGTTTGGGACATTTTAATACCGTCTAACTCCATGGCTACTTCTTTTATAGTTGGCCTTTTCTTTCTACTCAAATTTAAGCACATTTGTGCAAGTTCAGCTACTGCAATGAGCTCTTCTCTCTCGCCTTGCTCTAAGAGCTTGGTGTCAAGAATTGATTAGAGATTTTCTACTCCCATGCACAACGAAAATCTTGCTGCTAAACTTTTTTCCTCTCTTGATCTATTTAGAGGGTGTTTGACACCCATTTTTTGGATAATAGAATTTTTGGAGTAGTGATTGATGGGAAAATTAATGTGTGGTTGAAATGAAGAAAGAGAAAAAAATGAGAATGAGTGTCAAACATGGACTTAAAGATATTGATCTTTGTTCAGTCAAGAGCTCTACAAGAACAACTCTAAAACTGTAAATATCGATTTTTTTCTGTAGTTGACCTTGAAATTCCGAAGTCCTAGACTTTGGTTACATATATTTTCATCAAGTATATTGATTGACTAAATGTATCTATGATAGATGGGAATGGAAGTTGTCGAATGAACGTAAGCAACTACTTTTACCACTTCTACAACAAATTTCATTTGCATGTTCAATGAAATTGGAATTCATCTCTCTCATCGTGGATATAGTCAAAATGGTTCCATTGAAAATGAATTCATAAATTAGTAAAGGTGGTTTTGTTTATAGGCAACATCCAAATAGCTTGACTACATTCCTAGGAACGATTGTGAGAGCATGCCAAACTACGAATTGTTCTTCCTGTTTTTCATCTACTAACTTGGATTTCTTTATTGCTACAACCTTTATAAACTATCCCTTGAACATTAGAAGTCCTCCTGATGCACTAATATTAAGGGTATGAGACCATGTTGCATATTTTAAAAGGTTTGGGACTTCCGCTACAAATTTTCCTTGTTTTAATTAATTGAAGCTTAAAATACCAATTTTTCATTTTAAAGATCGTCAATTTATGCTAAGAAAATTGACTTTTGATCCAAGTGATGGATTTTTGGACGGGACAAAAATCGCCCAAAGTCTTTCTGTTGTTCATTTTCGAAAGGTAGTGAGTTTTCTCATTTTAGTCGGCCAACTCCACGCCATTGCACTTTCGATAATGAAGACAAGCAAAAAAGGACCAAGTGATGCAGAAAATTGAAGTAATATCAGGCAACACACGAATTTATGGAAATCATCCCAACTTTATTTTTCTAAAAAAAAAAAACACGTACACAAAATTTTGAAGGATCAATCCATGCTATTGTTTTCTTTAAAATTTATTTTTTCTCAAACTTATTTTCAAATCACATATTCTCTCAATAAACCACTTTTGCAAATCAATGCATTCATTGAAAAAGTCAATTTTTAAAAAATTTATTCTAAAGATTTGAAGCGGTATAGGGCTGTAAATTGATCGGATATAGACCTGACTTGCTTATATCCGATCTGATCCGATAAGAATAATTATCCGATCTGATTCGATAATTTAACGTATATTTGATTGTTAAATTTTTTCTTTCCTTCTTTCCCTTTGTGGTAGTCTGAAATGATGTTAAATGGTTGGACCTGAGCCAGCCGGCCTGACTAGAAAAGGCTATATTACTTTGGAAGATTTGACTATGGTAGTTTGTATCTTGTGCTGTAAAGTTATGAGCTTCTTTATGTGAAATCTTAAGCCTTGGGAATATAGTTTAAGACAAGAAATTAAGCTTTGTGAGTTTGTTCCCTATTAATCTGGGATTTGACTACATTAATCAATTCTTGTCTCTCTTAAGTTGTTGATTTATGGAAAATCTATAGCAAAAATAAACAGTTTCATTTAGGAATATGATCATGTTACATGTACTGAATTTTTTTACTCAATCTTTTACCTACTAATCACAATGTGGATGTGGACCACATTGTCGAAATTTTTAAATACACGCGAGCCCCGCGCATTATGTGAGAGGGGGTAATCCATTATGTACAAACTATTATGTACAAAATGGATTAACCCTTAGGAATATATCTGACATGAGAAGTTCCTTGAGGAAGGAGATTACTATGCCCCTGTTTGGTTAAGCTAAAATCTAAATTAAAATTTAAGTCAAAGTCAACAATTAATTTTAATTACACAAGTTATTGGACCTAACTTTTTGACTACATATTTCATCAATTTTTATCAAAATCTACTAAAATATGATTTTTATTTAAACCAAATGGGGATATGATGAAAAGTTGACATCTAGAATTTGAATTTTCCTGCTCGAAACCTCTAAGAAATCCAAGTGGACAGCCAGATACCTTTTTGTCCATTAGTCATCACGTCAAGGGATGTTGAACTTTCTCTTGTTTAATGGGTCAAACATTGTCCGAGTAAATATTTGATGCTGCTTTTACTATGCATGTTTGAAAATGATTGCTTATTTATGTTGTGCTGTGTGTTTTATCATGTCTTAGTTGTCTTTGTTTCAATTAATCATCACGTCAACCTCAAACAATGCATCTCGTAATTTCTGTCTGTTTAATGGATCACCGTTTATTGTACCCATTTCCTTCTCTTGTGTATTTCTCTAAAATGATGATAGCATTTCAGCTGTATAATCATTTGCTTCTTGTTTATATTTCTTCCTCAGTTGATTTAGTGAAGCCCGGTACTACTCTCATCCTTCGAAATGCGAAGATTGATATGTTCAAGGGAACTATGAGGCTGACTGTAGACAAATGGGGTCGTATTGAGGTCACCAAACCTGCCACAATTGTGGTTAAAGAAGATAACAATCTCTCGATCGTTGAGTATGAGTTGGTGAATGTTGTGGAAGAGTGACAGTTATCTTTTGGCAACCAAGGACTATATTAGTGTCTGTGCACAGTTTCCCATGGTTGCTTAATTTTCGATAGGAAGCCTTGAAATGGTTGTAAGAAACGTCCTTGAATCAAATGGTTTTTGGGGTATAGTTTTTGGCAAGTAAAATCTCATAGACTTGTTGAATATGGATGTGTAAAAAGAAATCTTATGTAGTGTATAATATATTTCCTTCTGCTGCGAACTGTCTTTATTTTTATCTGTGTGCAGTCGGATCGGATGGCCACTTTGTTCCCATTAGGATGGAGAAAACAGAAAAGTGAACAGAAGAAAGATGAAAGAAAAAAAGTACTAATATTTTCTCTCAATTTGCATGGTCAGAAACTTGTAATTCCTGTTACTTGTTGCAGGTGCATGCGTGTGATAGAAAGTCGAGGATTAGATTTAACTAGAGACGCAATTTAATGCAAAAGCAATTTGAGGCACGATCTTCCCGTTTGTAACTTCTGGACCTGGCTACTTCATTTGGTTGAGTTGGATAGAGAAATGTATGTAGGGAACCGACTCGAAATTCCCAACCTGTGAGAAGTACAACCTAGAGAAAACACACACCAAAGAAAAACAATCACGCGTACAAGACAATATTTATGTGGTTCGGCAAATTTGCCTACGTTCACGGAGTTACAGGTGTTAATTCTGGTGTAGCTGTACAATTTTTCTCTCTATATGATAAAAAACCCTAATCACCAAAACTGCGTTTTCTATATATTTTGTGCACAAGATTCGGCCCAAGCCTCCGCTCCATGGACTAAGCCTCGGAAAATCTCCCATTAAAAAACCACGCAACATTATTCGGGTCGGGGCGTCAACTGGATCAAACAAAACTAGGCTCCACAAAGCCCAACAACGTAGACTAGTTTGTCAATAGATGCTCATTTGCAATGATAGTGGTCACATTTTTGAGCTGCTACTTTTTCTTTGCATGTTTGTGTGGTTGGTGTTTGTTTCAAGGTGATGTAGAGGAATTAAGAGTCAAAATTTGTTGTTTTCTAATGGAAGCAATTTCTTGTTATGTTAACAAAGTCAATAGAGGACTTTTATGTATTGCAAGAAAATTCTTGGAAGCCATCCTTGGGGTCAATCAACGATGGCTGGACTTCTTCAATTTCAAAAATAGCCATCTACACTTGAAGAATACACGCATCTTGTCAAAACATTTGAATGATCTTCTTGCTGGTAATTTTCTCTCTTCAAATTTTTTTGCCACCTCCCATTCAGCATCTGAAATCTGAATTGAAATTTCATTTTACCTCTTTGACATAAAACCACACATCATAAGGATCATTTGGATGTTGCATAGAACCTAAATCTCTTCTCTATATCTCTATATATTTTCTCTCTTATATCAATGGAGGGGTGTAGGCCATTGGGTTTCTTGATAGGCTTGCCTTTTGCCTTTCTTGCGCTGATCTTCTCTTTAGTAGGCGCTCTTGTTTGGATCCTCGGGTTAGTTGCTTCTTTTCTCTTTTGTAATCATAACTTCATAAACATTGTTGTTTGATTTTCAATCCGTTTTCATCTGTTAATTATAAGTTCAGGGTTCAATTCTTTTCTCGTGTTCTCGCAGTTCATACTTTACCTTGAGATTAAACTTGATTGATGGCAATTTCTTTCTCGTCATTATATTTGTAGGGATTTCAACTGAATGATCGGGTTTAATGGCTGTTCTTTTACGGTTGTGTCCAAAATAAGTCTTGGCGTCTATTTGTTTCTCATCATTTCAACATAAAAATGAGAATTGTTACCGTTATATTCAAAGTTGTGGGGCCCACCAACGGTCCTAATTCTTCTAAAATGGGCAAAAAAAGAGAAACAAACAGGGGCTTGTTCTAATTGCTTTTTACCTATGTTTAAGTTGATTTGTGATAATGAATGCAGAGAACGCCTTATGTGTGAATAGAATTATAGTAATAGTGCCCAATTGTTTCGTATTGAGTCTCTAATTTATTGAGATTAAGGCTTGTTTGTTGTTGGATTGGTGAACATGTCCTGTACCCTTTCTTCCTTTTTGATTTTGGAAAGGAAGGATAGAGTCGAGGTGTGAACTGTGAAGTAGATCATGTTGCGACGAGAGGCTTGTCCGTCTTAACACCTCTATATTGTGGGATTTGATGGTGTTTTTATTTTACTTCTTAGTTTTCATGTCTTGGATGTTTGACTAATGATTTTGCTTCTTGTAATAGAACATTGTTGAGCTGCTTGTGCCCTTGTTGCATATGTTGCACTGGAATTGCCAAGTTGGCTGTAAGCCTCATGAAGCTCCCTGTGAAAGTCATAAGATGGTTTATTGAAAAGGTACCTTGTTGATAGTGAAATAGCAGAATGTTTCTATGCAAGAAAAATAAAAAAATATGTGATAGGGCAAAACACAAGTTCTCGATTATTAGTTCAATTTTTGTATGTGAAAGAAATTTCATTTTTATAACATTATGTAGGTGAACAAACAATGTACTTGTCGATTATTTGTTGTGTTGTAATATTTTTTTCTTTTATAACATTAACTTCGGGATTCTTAAAACACGCATAAGCTAAAAATTACTAGCCTTCTCTGACCACGGGGCGAAACGACTAAAGGGATTTGAATGGTCACCTAATGACGTATTTTGGTATAACCCAAATGACAACATAATTCTTAAGTCTTAACAAGTAAGCCCTCGTTCGACAACCATTGATAAATGGGAGAAACCATGTTTTGGATAGTGATTTTAGGATAATGCGTGGTTAAAAAGTAAAAGTCAATAAATTAAATTTACGTACAAAATATTTAATTGTGTAAATGTGTGGTTGATAATGAATATATAGCAAAAAAAAGTTTGAAAATATGTTCAAATTTGGAACCCTCCTTGCTATCAAGAAAATGATAAAAAAATTTATTTATCAAGATTCTTGCCATACCAAAAGCTATTTGAAAAATGGGTGGTAAATTAATCAAATATATCACAGAAACCCATTCATATAATTTCAACAATCTCGTATTTTTATGAAAAGTTGTACTGATATGAAAAATTTCAAAGATCGATTTCCCAAAAAATCTTTAAAAAGATTAGGTTTTTTTACTTTTCAGTTGCGAGATTTATAATACATCGACACCCTCCCGATACAGACGAGTTCACATCCGAGCATGTTGAAGCTAACAAGTGTCAGAAATGTCAGGTGATGTGTCCAAATATTTTTGTACGATTAGATAAATTACTGATACGATATGAGATATATTGTCGAAGTATTATTGCACATCAGAATTAACATAAATATATGTAACACCAAAAAGTATAAAGGGAAATTATAAAAAATCAGGGGTTTAAAGATAGTTTTTTAAAAATCAGGTCCAAAGTTTATTTATTCAAAATTCAGGAAATATATCAAAACTTTAATTCATCACTTTCAACTCCCTCATCCCTCTCTCTTTCTCGCCTCACTTTCCCCGCCTCTCTCCCTCACATCTCTCTCTCTCTCACCTCACATCTCCCCCACCTCTCTCCGCATCTCTCCCTCCCCTCTCCGTAGCATCGCCTGCTTTGTCGAAGACAACGGTGGAGCTCATCGATGTGCAGCGGCGCTTCATCTCCATCTCCTGTACAGCGGCGAGCGCAGCTTCATCTCTGAGCTTCCCTGTGCAGCGAATCGTACATGGCAGCGGATCTCCGGACGCTGCTGTCCGTCGGCGCTGTCGCTCTTTTTTTTAAAATTTTTGGGATGCTGCTGTTCGTCAGAGCTGTCGTTCTTTTTTCTATGTGGTGTTGTGTGGTGGTAGTTCGATGGAGCTACGCCGCAATAGTGGTGATGTTGGAGTTGGATTTAGTGGTAGCGGCTTTGTTGGTGGCAGGGTTGTGGTGTGGTGTGATGTTGGTTGATCTGACGAGGTTTGTTGGATCTGTCTGGTGGCTGTGGTGGTTTCTGACGATGGAGACATTGGTTTTGTTGGTGAGGTTGAAGGTTGGATATGGTGGTGGCGCAGTGGATTTAGATACTAAACGGGCGGTGGCGGAGGGTTTGTTGGAGGTGAAGTTG